CATGGTTTGCTAAAGTACGGCAGCAAAATGGAGGTTTGCTAGAATACGGCAGCAAAATGGAAGCATGGTTTGCTAGAGTACGGCAGCAAAAGAAAGGTTACGGCAGCAAAATGAAAGTTACGGCAGCAAAATGAAGGTTACGGCAGCAAACATGGTTTGCTAGATTACGGCAGCAAAATGGAAGCATGGTTTGCTAGAGTACGGCAGCAAAATGGAGGTTACGGCAGCAAACATGGTTTGCTAGAGTACGGCAGCAAAATGGAAGCATGGTTTGCTAGAGTACGGCAGCAAAATGGAGGTTTGCTAGAGCTTGGGCGTTTTGAGTGTTCCCCCGGTTGTCTCCTCCGGGCCCCCCGCCATGGATGCCCCTTCCGGCTGTGTCTCCTCTCCCTCTTATAGGCCTTGGGAGTTCACTTCTCTATGCACGCATGCTACTCCGACATCGAGGTGGTCGCGCATGCTACTCCGGCATCGAGGTGGTCGCGCATGCTACTCCGGCTATGCACCCTTGTCTCCCAGTTGAGATGACAAGGCTTCTTTATTCTATGTAGGTGCCGGGTGGTTGGTTTTTGGGAGAAAAGATAAGGTTTAGGTGTCGTATGGTTGGTTTAGTGTCGTATGGGAGAGGTGCTGCACATATGGGTAGGTGTTGGGGGAAGCGACCGGTCACAAGGGATGAGCGACCGGTCGTTTTGAAGCAGATTAGAAGAAGCTTGAAATCGAGACCAGCGATCGGTTGTAAGGTGCAAGCGACCGGTCGCCGCAGCTGTGTTGTTTTGGATTTTCGATTCTGTGCAAAAGCGACCGGTCGCCCAGTTCTGGCGACCGGTCGCACAGAACGTGCTGGTGCTGGGCTTTTCTTTCTCTCTGCTTACCCATTTAGTGGGCTCAAGAAAATGGGCTTGGATTTTGGGGCTCCCAAGCAGCCCAAAACCTGCATTCTCTTGAACCTTTAATGGGCCTCATGGATCCTTGTAACCATCCACACCACAACCCGCTCAGCAAGCCCCAGAGCATGTATGTGGCTTGGGCCCACTTAAGCTTGTTGTGTAATTTGACACTAAACAGGGGGTTGCTTGGCATCGCGTGTTATTGCATGCTTATGCTTGGGCTATGTTGTATTGCAGTGGCTTTGGGCTTTGCTGTATTGCAGTGGCTTGGGCTTGTGAAACCTTGTAATTCTTACAAGTTTGCATGTAAAAAGTGGTAAACTCGTACCACCACCCCCACGTGTCAAATAGTAGCCTTGCTTGGCATGGCATGGCGTGCTGCTTTTATAACCTGATAATGCATTGGGCTTTAAAATATGCATGGGCTTTTCTTGAGATTTTTTCAGGCCTTAACACAATGTTTTTTGTATGAAATGGTATTAACGATGTTTTTTGTATGGAATGTTATTAATAACGTTTTTTTTTTTATGAAATGGTATTAACAATGTTTTTCTATGAAATGGTATTAACAGTGTACTTGTATGACATGGCATTAACAATGTACTTCTATGACATGGTTTGCAGAGATTCGGGGAAAAGGAAGGGTCGTGAGGATATGCCCTTGGTTTTGGTGTTTTTTTTTTTATACTTAAGTTTGGGTTTTTAAAAAAAATCTGGGCTGGGCTTGTTTTGGGTTTTTTTTTTTTGTGTTTTTTTTATTGGACTTCTTTTAAGTTAGTTAGTGGCAGTCACGTAATTTATAGGAAATTCAACACTCATTTTGTAAGTAGTAAATGATTTTTGGGTATGTTTCTAAAGTGCATTCCATGTAGGGTTTTTTTTTTTAATTTCAGCCCATATTTTGGGTATATTACTAAAGCTCCCAATTTTTTATTGCTCACTGTCTTGCTGGATTTCTTTGTCCATATTTTGTTTGCAAGAACCTCCATTAGGGGTGTATTCTTCTTGTAAATCTCTTGCGTTTACCCCTATTTTAATGAAATTCTGCTTGCTCTAAAAAAACAAACTCTGCAAATGTAGAATCAAATCAACAATGCGTGCATGGATGAGTTTTTTTTACTTTTTTTGGGTGCAAGTACATATATTTGATAGTATAGAGGTGAGAGGAAATGATGATACTTGATACGTAGATTTCTTTGGACCAAAAATGGCTTGGGAAGACTCATTGATTGGTGAATTGGCACAGAGAAACTGCTAGTGCGAGATTAGGTCCCTAATAATCTATTTTTGGACCAAGACATGTTCATGATCATGAACATTCGAACAAGAACTTCGTTGAAGAAAGATAGAGCCCAGATGGTGTCCATCAAAGTTGGGATGGGCTGGACCAGACATCTTTCCACTTTTGGTTCCATGCCGAAGACTTTTGCTAGATTTAAAAAATAAAAAAGTTTGAGAGAGATTTTGAGTTTTATTAGATGAACGAGTTATGCTGGCCTGGCCAATGTTGATGATGGTACAATAATTGTACAAAAACGTACGAAAATTAAAAATTAGGTACCATACCATTACAGCAAATGATCATTAATCTTACCATTTAGTCGTTTATTAAAACATTGATGCCACCTTATTTTTACATAAAATTACAGCATGCACACTCACTTTATTAGATGAATCAGTTGGTTTTTATATGACCTCAGATATCTATCCTATTCCTACTAGTAGATGTATATATATATATATATATATGCATGCACAGAACCTTTTCCAAGTCATGTTCCTTGGAAGAGGAGGCCATTGACAGTCACCCCACCATCGATGGAAATAGTTTGGCCAGTTATGTAAGAGGCCGCCGGTAGGCACAGAAATGCTACCAAGGAAGACACCTCTTCTGGCTCTCCTGGGCGTCCTAACGGGGTTCGAGACTTGATGATCTTCAAAGATTTTTCGTTGCCAAGAAACTGCATGTTTAGAAAACAGAATAGGACACATATATTAGTAGCTGCTAAATTCCAAGCTTGTAAAGTATATATAAACATGGTGGTCAAGCTCTCCAACAAAGAGACTCGAGGTACCAATTATTATCCCAACTTTTGAGTACCAACTCACGTGTGACACAAACAATGAGCTCACATATAAATAAATAAAGTACTGTCAAATTAATTTGGATAATAATTGGTACTTTTGTTTCTACTCGTGCCTTCGGGGCCTAAGCATGAATTAGCAATGTTGCAGTGCCTTTTCTTTCCTTCTATTTACTTTTGATTCCACTGAGAGCATGCTTAATTTGGTGTCCCCACTTTATTGACATGAAACTGATCATGATATTAAAAATAAAAAATTTAAAAAAAACCCATCACAATGCTAACTAGTTAGAAATACATAAAAACAAGCAAATGATCTGGATATGATCATCTTACATGGTCAGCGAGGGGAGTTGTGATGAACCAAGGCGCAACACTGTTAGTTCTTATGTTATCTTTTGCCCACTCACATGCCAAGTTTTTGGCTAATTGATTTATTGCTCCTGAAACACAAAACATAAACGCTTCAATTGCAGAACACAAAGTTTCTTGTGTGTTTATATATATATATATATATATATATATATATGAGCGCGTAAGGAAATTAAAAGGCACCTTTAGCGGCAGAATATATAGTTCCAACTTCCAGTGAAACCACACCAGCAACAGAAGACAGAAAAACAATGTTGCCGGCTCCTGAAGCTTTGAGCAGAGGATGTGCAAGTTGGCACATGTGATAAGCAGATTCAAGATTGGTACTCATAAGAAATGTGTAATCTTCAGCTGTGAACTCCGTCGTTGGTTTTGTTATGTTTGTTCCCACATTGTTTATCTACAAAAATGCAGTAAATATGCAGTGAAGTGACTCTAAATTACAAGAAAATGGGACTTAGAAGGACTTGAACACATAGGGAGGCATTGTTTATTAGCTACTCCCATTGGTCCTTGCATTCTACCTCATTTCTCCCATGCATATTTTTAACTAAAACCGTGAAAACGAAAACACTTACCAAACGAGCCCTAATTAAACTTTTTGCTAATAAGATTTTGATCTAGCTACACAGTCTTCCCTTTGTTGAAAGGGGTCTTGAAATCAAATTTAATGGACGAGAAGATAACCGTTTATCGATTTTAACTATCCTCAAATTTTCCAAGTTAATTCTACTCGAACTAGAGAATCTATTCCATGACATCTTGTCTGCTACAAAAGCTAATACCAGTTCAATTTTCTCTGTGACAAAAAATCCTTAATAAAACAGTAAGTAAGCAAAAAAGTGATTTTTTGTACTTAGAATTTCATCAAATTGTCCTGTACTTACAAGGATGTTAAGTTTCCCATCAAACAGGGATGAAAGCTTGTTTATAAGCTCCTCTCTTTGGGATTTTGACACCACATCACACACTGAACCAGTGACCTTGAAACCTTTCTTCTCCCATTGACTCAAGCAGTCATTGAGGTCAACTTCATTCCGAGCACAAGTATGAATAGTTGCACCAAACCCTGCCAATTCTTCCACTATAGCATGCCTAATTACATTAACAATTTAACATAAAGTATTAAAACTAATTGGTACCCATAATTTATTTTTATTTATACATATAATAAATAAAAAAAGGAAGAAGAAAAACAGGGGAGAATTTGGAGAAGTAAAGAAAATGTTGCAGCACATGAAAATTGAAAAGATTAATTAATGGTCTTTTTCCAAATGGAAAGCATAATAAGAAATTAATGAGGACGAAGAGAAAGCTAAGTAAACTAACCCAATCCCTTTCGTTCCACCAGTAACAAGAGCAGTCAATCCCTGAAGAGACCATCTCCTCTCTCTGCTACTCATATCTGATCTCTCTCTGTCTCTCTCTCTCTCTCATCTATTAATGGGTTTTTATAGTTGTATTATCAGTATTTGGTGGCCAGGACAAGCGGTGTACTACGTGGCAGCTGATGGTGCAGCAACTTGCTTCTTTTGTTGGTCTGGAATGCTGGTATTTCTAGTGGACTGACATGTATATCTATGATTAAATTATTATTTGTCCAAAAACCAGCTCTGCATATATGGAATCTCCTTGTACATTAATTTTTTAACATTTTTTGGTGCAAGCACAAATATTTTGATAGCATAGCGATTTTGGAAAGAGAACGAATCTGCATACCTTTTAAATCTTTTAATTTCTCATGAACTAATTAATGCAGCTCGTGGACCGGATTGGGTTTGTGCAGACATGGGCCAAAGCCCGAACAAATCCATAGCTAAAGTTTGACAAGTCTGGCCCATTTTTTAGTTAAGTAGGGCTTAGGCTAATAGTTTCCAATCTAGACATGGCCCGTTTGAACCCGAATGTCCTAGTCCTGGCTAGGCAATGAAATCCAATTCCAACCCGCAATGATGTGTAGGTGTGTGGAAAGGGTCTATGCACCTGGGAGTTTTATACTTGTCATGACTATCGCCCAACAATCTTGACTGCAGAGCTGCTGGCCCGATTTGATAATGAATGCACTCCACTGCAATTAAATTGGGACAGCAGCTGTGCAGTCACAGAATATTAATATTTTCAATAGCTTTGATTGAGAATTAGCAACAGGGTCTGAGTTCATTGGAAATATCATTTTCTAGGCTTCAATTTAGTGTCGTTAAAGTCTTCATTTGGAGTTGGGAAGCCCAAATTGTGATGCTCACAAAGTTGCTTAGTCATGCATGACCTATGCATGCATTATTGTTGTTAATGGAAAAGTTAGGATAGCTGCATTGTTATCATGAAATGGCACTTGCAACCCTATCACTTGTAGATAAGAAGAAATGGATGCAAAGAAGACATAAACAATCCAAAGAATATGAAAGTGCCACACCACAAAAGCCAAAAGAGAAAAAAATTATATCAAATGGAATTGTGGGTTAGGTAAAGGAGCCAAGTGATGAGTATGGCTATATTCAAATAAGATTATTTCCTTTAATATGGGTTAGGTGAAGGAGCCAAGTGCGAGTATAATGTGTGTTTGAAATAATCTTTGTTTTGCAAGTTGTCTAAAACACCACAACATATTTACCTTAGAAGAATTACAAATATTAATCATAAGAAGCAAGCCTCAAGTATGGTATTTACTCTAATTTGCATTCGATAAACTCAACTAACAATCTAAATAGTGATCAGGCATCAAGAAAATCAATCAAGTTATTAAACACGATGATTAAGAATCAAACATTAAAAGGCAATCACTAGATAGAAAAACAAGAAAACTAGATTATCACACTAGGGCTACATCATGCCTTAACTAAAGAGTTTTATTTAAATAAATAAAAGTAAAACATTACAAAGCTAAGAAAATACATGAAGGAAAATCTAGTAAAAGGGTTTTATTACAAACAATTGAGAACTAAATGTAGAACTAAGAGAATTTGAGGGAGAGAAGGGAGAGGAGCTCTAGAGAGATGTTTGAGAGCTCCCCCCCATGGGGTTGTTTTGAAAACTTGGGGAACTTCTCTATTTATAAGCCAACATACTCAACAACAACAAGCCACTAATCTTCTTTTTTTTTTTTTTAACTCAAATACCTAACCCACAATGTCATTTCTCATTCTTTATTCTTCTTGGTGCAGCACTTCAAGGGCAAATGGATTAGCTTTTAGTTTGGCTTCCCACTTCCTTCTTATCTGGGTTTGTGGATGAATCAAATCATCCACTAACAAGCATAATGTATACATAGCTCATGCATGACCAAGCAACCTTGTGAGCATCACAACTTGGGATTCCCAACTCCAAATAAAGACTTTGACCATACTAAATTGAAGCTCAAAAAATGATCTTTCCAATGGACTAAGGGCTTGTCGCCAATTCTCAATGAAAGCTATTGAAAATATTAATATTCCTTGACTGCACAGCTGCTGGCCTGGTTTGACAGTGAATCCACTGCAGTATGCTTGTAGGCATAAATTGGGCTAGTACCTCTATTCATAAAATTCTGTATAAATATGGACCTTAAAGCTCTTTGTCTTATCTTTCCAATCATATATAGCCCATCTTAAGAAAAAATCGAAAAGGCCTTCAAATATCATTGTTGGCACAGTAATGCAGATGCTTCTGATTCCACCTTAAGCTGCCTTGTCTTGAAATACTACTTTGATTGGCAGCTCTAAAAATTCAAGAAGAATTATAGAGACATCTTCAAGCTCTTAGCTTCACTCTCCATTTGGCCTTGCACATAAATTCCATCAAAAAGTTGTAATTCCATTGAAAATCGATTAAGTGCTTTTGAAAGCTGAAAATGGAGAAAGTAAAGTAACAAGTCTTCTTTAAAGCAAATTCTCCTACAAAGACTAAGTAATTAGCGTGAATAAATTAGTATATTTATGAACCTATCAGTGGTGATCCACATTCCATATATTTATCTATATATATAAAGCAAAAGGCAGAGAATTGTAAAATACCAGAAAATGCCTTTGATTAATGCAAACATTAAGAATTGAAATTATTAATTAAATGAGGATAATATGGTAAATTTATAATTTTTTTATATTTAAAAAATTAGAATTAAAAGAAAAATTAGATAATGGATTCTATTTTTATGGAACACAACACAACTACCCATTATCTTTTTAAATTCTAAAATAAATTTTAAATTTTTTTAAAAAAGCCTCTTGCATGCGCAGAAGCACATGCGAATAGGCTAGTAATAAAGAAAAAAAGAAGATAAAAAAATGGAGATGATAGTTCACACACACTTTTTCTCTCTTTTTATTTTTTATCTCTCTTCTTCTTTCTGTCTCCAATTCTTTCTCTTTTTCTTCCTCTGTCCGATTCTTCTTCCTCTTTTATATTTCTCTTTTTCTTCCTCTGTTTTTCTCTTCTTCTTTTTTTTTTTTCTCATTCTCTATCTCTCTATTTCTTTTTTTTTTTTCTCATTCTCTATCTCTCTATTTCTTTTTTTTTTTTGCTGGGAGAAGATGAGAGGGTGGGGAGGTGGTTGGGACCGTTTGGTAGAAGAAGAGAATGGTGATGTGCTGCGTTAGATTTGTGAGGGGTATTTTTGGCATGAAAAAATTGATTCCTTTCACCCTTCTCCAATCCAACGTCCCCTCTCAAGAATCAAATCTCTTCAATAGCAGGAATCAGGAGTCAGATTTGTTGTGGGCCCTACATTATTGTTCATTACACCAATGTAAGTAAACAAAGGAGTCATTCCTACAAATTCCCATTCCGGTTATGTAAACATGCCATCATCGATTGGTGAATGGGCAGAAAAGAAACTGGTGGGGGGTTAGACAAACAAAACAGAGATCCCATATACGGTTCATCAAAGTTGAGCTGGGCTAGACATCTTCCCACTTTTGATTCCACGGTGGCCCATGTAAGAAGGTTTATTACATTAAACCTACTGAAGTGATCTTCTAATCAACTAAGGATTGCAAAGACTCATTGTTTATCAGGGACTCAAAACCTATCTCGATTAGGAAGCCTCTAAACAGTGTTTAAGAAGGATAATGAAGGCTTAAGGGTTCCTAGTTCTACAAGGATTGTAACAGATTAAACCTATAGCATGAAGGATATCTCTAAGTGTTTCTTGATGGGCAAGACACTTAGAGAGATGCATATAAATAGAAGGCTCCCTCCTAGATCCGATACACAACAAAAGCTAATCAGAAAATTCACCCATCAGAGTTATAGCTATCAAGATCGGTTTCTAAGGAGAAGAGCTTCTTTACCTTCTTTCCTTGCGCAGCCAATCTGTTTCAGCATCATCAGATCTGCTCCAGCACCATGACGGATTCAGGTTAGTGTTCTATGTGTTATAGCTCTAAAGTATTTACATGTGGTATCAGAGCGTGAGTTATATCATGTTCTACCTAACAAAACTCGTGCAAGAAAATTAAGAGAAATAACTGACAGTTTTTTTTTTTAAGTTATAAAGTATGAACATGATAACAGTATAAAGTATGAACTTTATCATGTTCTTGACGGTTTCTACAGATCATTGCTTACAGTTATTGTGCAGTGATTGAGTAAGCCAAAGCGACTCAACCATTGTATGATCACTGTATTCAAGGTTTTATGATCAGAATTTGCACCATGATGCAAAACATGTCGAAAGGCTTTCTGTCTAAAGATGTAAGCTGTTTGATATGTCTTGCATCATGGTGGATCGACATGGGACATGGATAGATATGGATTAGTGAAAGGTTTTCTTCTGTCTAAAGATGTAGAAGATCTTTTGCTCAGGAAATTCACATCTATTCGTTTTCCAGTGTCAATAAGCATGCTTGATTCACTGTCCAAAGATGTGATTAAGTATGTTTGATTAAAGTTCTGGGGAAAGTTGTATGTATATATATAAAGTGCTTATTTTGTTCTAAACATGTACAGTCAATCATAACTCAATTCGAACTCTCACTGGCTCAAATTATAAGAAATGGAGAGAAGATGTGGAAATTTCCCTTGGACTTCTGGATTATGAGATGGTTCTTACTGATGAAGCTCTATCAGTGCCTGCGAGTGATGCATCTGCTGAGACTAAAACTAAATATGCAAAGTGGATTAAGGCCAACAAAATGGCAATTCTAATCATGAGGAGGTCTATTTCAGAAGAGGTCAGAGGCAGTGTTATCGAAACTGAGAATGCTAAGCTATTCATGGAAGCTATTGCAGAAAATTTCCAAGGATCCAAGAAAGCTGAAATAGGCACACTCATGAGCCAGCTGACAGATATGAAATACAATGGAGAAGGCTGCATAAGGACTCACATTCTGAACATGGTTGAAATAGGAAACAAGCTAAAAGCCCTGAAAGTCAATGTGGATGAGACCATGATGGTGCACTTTGCCATTAACTCTCTACCTAGCATTTTTAGACAACTGAAAACTACTTATATTGCTCAGAAGGAGATATGGTCAGTTGCTGATTTGATAGGTATATGTGTGCAGGAAGAACAAAGTATTAGAAAGGACAAAGGCAAAGAACAAGTGTATTTCGTGCAGGATACTAAATTCAAATCAAGAGAATGGACCAAAAACAAGAATGCAGATAAGCAGCAAAAGAAAGATGAGACTGCAAAGGGGATGGGTCCAGTAGGTCTAAAGTGTTTCTTTTGCAAAAAGTTTGGACACTTAAAAAGAGATTGCAGGAGATACAAACGTTGGTTAGAGAAGCAAAAGGGAAAAGGTAAGCATGAAAATATCTCTGTAATCTATGAATCTAATACAGTTGAAGTTTTATCTAATTCATGGTGGTTAGACAGTGGTGCAACAGTTCATGTGACTAACTCTTTGCAGGGATTCAAAACAAAGAGGGTGCCAAACAAGGATGACTTGAAGGTGTTCGTGGGAAATGGAGAAAGAGTTAGAGTAGATTTTGTTGGTTTAGCTAGTCTTGAATTGGAGTCAGGTTTTATTTTGGAATTAGTTGATGTCGTTTATGTTCCTTCTATGACAAGGAATTTATTATCAGTTAGCAAGCTTGTAAAATCAAACTTACAGTTTGAGTTTGATGAGTCTGGTTTCTCCATTTTCAGAAATAAAAGTTTTATTGGTAATGGATTGTTGATTGATGGAATGTTTCGCTTGAACTGCAAATTGCCAAATCAAAATACAGAGATGATAAATATGTTAAGTTCGAAACAGCCATGTAATACAGAATCTTTCACACTATGGCATAAGAGACTTGGACATGTCTCGAAAGAAAGGATGAATCTGTTAAGCAAAGAGTTAATCCTTCCACCACTTAATCACCATGAACAAGATAAAACATGCATTGAATGTGCAAAAGGAAAATTGACAAATCTCAGAAAGAAAGGGGCAATAAGAAGTGAGAAACTACTTGAGATAATACACACAGATATTTGCGGGCCTTTTCCAGTTGATACACATGATGGTTTCAGGTATTTTATTACCTTTACAGATGATTTTTCAAGATATGGATATGTGTATCTCATAACAGAAAAATCCAAAGCATTGGAAATGTTTAAAATCTACAAAGCAGAAGTGGAAAACCAACTGGATTCTAAGATAAAGGTTGTAAGATCAGATAGGGGAGGAGAGTTCTATGGCAAGTTCACAGAAAAAGGAAGAAATCCAGGACCCTTTGCAAACTTTCTACAGCAAGAGGGTATTGTTGCACAATATACAAATCCTGGAACACCACAGCAGAATGGTGTTTCAGAAAGGAGAAATAGAACCTTAATAGAGATGGTGAGGAGCATGATGTGTTGTGCAAAGCTTCCTACTTTTCTATGGGGAGAAGCCTTAAAAACTGCAAACTACCTTGTCAATAGAGTTCCTACCAAAGCTACAAACAAGATACCCTACGAAATCTGGTGTAAAAGAAAGCCTAGCTTGGCTCATCTAAGGACCTGGGGATGCAAGGCAGAAGCAAAGTTGTACAATCCTATGCAGAAGAAGCTTGATTCCAAAACTGTGAGCTGTTTCTTCGTAGGATATCCAGATAGGACAAAAGGTTACAGGTTTTATTGTCCTAAACACAACACTAGATTTGTAGAAACACAAAGAGCAATCTTCATTGAGGAGGAGAAAGAAGAAGTAGACAATGCAGATTTTGTTTTTGATGAAGTTTTGGAAAATCAAGAGACTGCAGAAGAAAATGAAACGACAGAAGTGATTGTTTTACCTTTTGTTACCTTGGAAGGAAACCAAGCCTCACCAACACATGAGGACAGAAATCATGAGCAAAATCCAGTGACAGAAACTCAACCAATTGCAGCAGAAGAAATACAAACAGATCAGCCAGCACAAGCTTCAGACCCACAACTTAGAAGATCACAAAGGTCTAAGAGGCCAGCCTTGTCGAGTGACTATTTTGTTTACCTACAAGAATCAGAGCATGACATCAATACTGAGGAAGACCCTGCAACCTTCAAGCAGGCCATGGAAAGTAACAAAAGTTCACAATGGTCTGCAGCCATGGAATCTGAATTAGAATCCATGAGCAAAAATGGGGTATGGAGACTAGTTAATCTGCCACCAGGATGCAAACCTATAGGATGCAAGTGGGTTTATAAAACGAAAAGAAATGCACAAGGACAAATAGACAGGTATAAAGCCAGACTAGTGGCAAAAGGTTACACACAAGAAGAGGGAGTTGATTACAATGAAACTTTCTCTCCAGTATCAACTAAAGATTCATTCAGAGTTATAATGGCTTTGGTTGCACATTTTGATTTGCATCTTCATCAGATGGACGTTAAGACAGCCTTCCTAAATGGAGAACTAATTGAAGAAATATATATGAAGCAGCCGGATGGTTTTGCCTCAAAAGGGGAAGAGAATTTAGTGTGCAAGCTGCAGAAATCAATATATGGTCTAAAACAGGCATCAAGACAATGGTATCTCAAGTTTGATGAAGTTGTTAAGTCCCAAGGCTTCATTGACAATCCATTGGATGAATGCATCTATATGAAATTCAATGGAAAGAATTTCATCTTCATGCTGTTATATGTGGATGACATCCTTCTAGCAAGTAGCAATTTGTCCATGTTGCATGACACTAAAAGAATGCTATCAAATCATTTTGATATGAGTGATTTGGGAGAGGCAAACTACGTTCTTGGAATAGAAATCAGCAGGGACAGAGAAAGAAAAATGATTGGTTTATGTCAGAAGGCATATATTGAGAAAGTGCTTAAGAGGTTTAACATGGGAAACTGTACAGGATGTGATGTTCCTTTTTCGAAAGGTGATAAATTGAACAGTGAACAGTCTCCTAAAACTGAGCAAGAGAGAGAAGAGATGAAGGATAAGCCCTATGCATCATTGGTGGGAAGTTTGATGTATGCACAAGTCTGCACCAGACCAGATTTGGCATTCTGCATAAGTGTTCTTGGCAGATTCCAGTCTAATCCAGGCCAAGCACATTGGATTGCAGGCAAGAAAGTATTAAGGTACTTGCAGAGAACTAAAGAGTACAAATTGGTCTATAGAAAGGTTGATAACTTGCAGCTGGAAGGATATGCAGATGCAGACTTCGCAGGATGTCAGGATACTAAGAAATGCACATCAGGAGTTGTTTTTCTGTTTGCAGGAGCTGCAGTGGCTTGGAAAAGTATGAAACAGCAGTATGTATCAACCTCAACCATGCAAGCAGAATTTCTGGCAGTTTATGAAGCCACCTCAATGGCAATGTGGCTTAAGAATTTCATGTCCATGTTGAAAATTGTAGACTCAATACAGAGGCCAATTCAGTTATGGAATGACAATACTGCAGCAGTGTATTTTGCACAAGGAAATAAAAGATCAAGTGGAATGAGGCATTTGCATTTAAAGTTTTTATCTTTAAAGGAAAAGATTCGAGATGGAGAGACTGCTCTAAGTCACATTGGCACAGATTTTATGATTGCAGATCCCTTAAATAAAGGTCTGCCTAATCATGTTTTTCATAGGCATGTGGCAAGCATGGGATTGCAGTTGAGTTTCGATACCTAAAGTCAGTGGGAGTCAGTGGGAGCTAGAGTTCTTGCTGTTATGTTTCAGTTTTGATTTTGTTAACTAGTTTTATCTAGACTGTTTTGTTTTTGCAGACTTAATTGAATTACTTTTATATAATGTTCTGCATTTGCTGTTTATGAATGACAAATAGAATAAAGGCCAAACTGTAAACATGCTAGCATTCTGCTTGCAGTTTGAATCTATGAATGAGTCATTAAAGTTTGTTTAAAAGGAGACCTTGGGTAGTCTTGAAGGGTGAGCAAAGAACAGTTTTGGTTTTGTCACACTTACAGTAAAACTAAACAGGTTCTTGTTTTCAATCTAGTTGGAAGCCTTATGTGTTTTGCAAATTCATATATGTGGTTATAAAAGTCTTGGATGTTATATATCCAGTGTACTTCGATAGTCCCTTGTGAATTTTCAAAATGACAGTGGCTTGATAAAAGGAACAAGAGAGTTTTGAGTACCACATGGCCATTAAGTGATGAACAATAAGTCTAAATTGATTATTTGATCAAGTGGGAGAATGTAAGAAGGTTTATTACATTAAACCTACTGAAGTGATCTTCTAATCAACTAAGGATTGCAAAGACTCATTGTTTATCAGGGACTCAAAACCTATCTCGATTAGGAAGCCTCTAAACAGTGTTTAAGAAGGATAATGAAGGCTTAAGGGTTCCTAGTTCTACAAGGATTGTAACAGATTAAACCTATAGCATGAAGGATATCTCTAAGTGTTTCTTGATGGGCAAGACACTTAGAGAGATGCATATAAATAGAAGGCTCCCTCCTAGATCCGATACACAACAAAAGCTAATCAGAAAATTCACCCATCAGAGTTATAGCTATCAAGATCGGTTTCTAAGGAGAAGAGCTTCTTTACCTTCTTTCCTTGCGCAGCCAATCTGTTTCAGCATCATCAGATCTGCTCCAGCACCATGACGGATTCAGGTTAGTGTTCTATGTGTTATAGCTCTAAAGTATTTACAGCCCACACCAGCCACCGTGGAGGATTTCATATTTCATATAATTGCCAGCTTCTATTTTCTCATATTTCTGTGGCTGCTGCTGCTAATAACATTATAAATTTATAACACAAGTTACCAGCTTGTGGGATTTTGGCGGAATTGCTAGACAAGTTTGTCATCAAAATCACAGCTGAGAATTTAAATACATACAAAAACGTTATGTCTGTTTGAGCTGGCCTAGCAAATGTAGATGATGGTGCAGTAATTGTTAAAAAAACGTACAAAAAAATAAAAATTGAGTTCCTCCCACTGTACCAAGTGATCATTCATCATCTTATCATCACATTTATTAAAACATTGATGCCTCCTCATTTTTACATAAAATTACAACACACTCACTTTATTAGATGGATCAGTTTGGTTTTTATCTGACCTCGAGTGTCTGCCTACTAGTAGATATGTATACATAAAGAGAACCATTTCCAAGTCATGCTCCTTGGAAGAGGACGCCATTCACAGTCACCCCTCCGTCGACGCAAATAGTTTGGCCAGTTATGTAAGAGGCTGCCGGGAGGCATAGAAATGCCACCAAGGCTGACACCTCTTCTGGCTCTCCAGGGCGTCCTAACGGTGTTCGAGAGTTGATGATCTTCAAAGTTTCTTCTTGGCTGAGAAACTATAGAAAACAGAAACAGATAAGACACATATTTAGTAGCTGCTAACTTCCATGTTTGTTAGGTATAAACCTAATTTTCAAAATCTGCCAAGCTCTTCAGCAAATAAGACTACATATACCAATTATGAATACATTTGAATTTTCTACCTGGTGCAAATAAATACAATCTACAATGAGCTCAGATATAAATAAATGAAACATTGTCACATCAAGATCAAGTTAAGATAAAAAAAATATTAAGATAATAGCTGGTACTTTTAGGCCTAGTCGTGCAATGCCTTTTCTTTTCTTTTATACTTTTGATCCCAATTAGAGCGTGCTTAATTCGCATGTGTGAAGCGATCATGACATGGGAAAAAAAAAAACCATTAATCCTACCTACACATAAAAACAAGCACATGATCTAGATATTTTCATCTTACATGAACACGCACAAGATCTGGATATGATCATCTTACATGTTCAGCGAGGGGAGTTTTGGTGAACCAAGGTGCAACACTATTAGTCCTTATGTTATCTTTTGCCCACTCACATGCCAAGTTTTTGGCTAATTGATTCATTGCTCCTGAAAAACAAAACAGAAAAGCTTCAACATTTAAGGTCAATTCTTCAATTGCAGAACACAAAGTTTTTAGGGTTCTTTTCTAAGTCCTAAACCTTATATTATATATATGTGTGTGTGGGGAAATCAAGGCACCTTTAGTGGCAGAATATATAGATCCAACTTCCACTGAAACCACACCAGCAACAGAAGACAGAAAAACAATGTTACCGGCTCCTGAAGCTTTGAGCAAAGGATGTGCAAGTTGGCACAAGTGATAAGCAGATTCAAGATTGGTACTCATAAGAAATGTGTAATCTTCAGCTGTGTACTCCGTTGTCGGTTTTGCTATGTTAGTTCCCACATTGTTTATCTACACCACACATAAAATTTGCATGCCTTAATTAATTCAAAGCTCTGCAAATATACAGTGAAGTGACTCTAAAAAGAAAATGAGACTTTTCTTTTTCATATAAACGATTATCTAAACTACATGGAGATGGGGTTTCTCACACACACTGCATTGCCATGGGGGATTTTGATCTAGCGAAACACAATGTTCATTCGAACTAGATCATCTATTTCATCTTGTCTGCTACAAAAGCTGATACCGATTCTATTTTCACTATGACCAAAAAGCCTTAATAAAAGAACAAGAAAGCAAAACGTGATCCTTGGTACTTAGAATTGATGGTCTTATACTTACAAGGATGTTAAGTTTTCCATCAAACAATGATGAGACTTTGTTTATAAGCTCCTCTCTTTGGGTTCTTGACACCACATCACACACTGAACCAGTGACTTGAAAACCCTTCTTCCCCCATTGCCTCAAGCAGTCGTTGAGCTCAACTTCATTCCGAGCACAAGTATGAATAGTTGCACCTAGCCCTGCCAATTCTTCCACTATAGCATACCTAATTACATTAACAATTTAACATAAAGTATTAAAACTAATTGGTACCGATAATTATTTTTATTTATAAATAAAAATAAAAAGAAGAAAAACAGGGGAGAATTTGGAGAAATATAGAAAATTTTGCATGGATATTACAATTGAAAAGATTAATTAAGGGTCTAATCATAATTGAAACCATAATAAGCAATTAGTAAGGAAGAAGAAAAAGCTAAGTAAACTAACCCAATCCCTTTGGTTCCACCAGTAACAAGAGCAGTCAATCCCTGAAGAGACCATCTTTTCTCTCTGCTACTCATATTTGATTTCTCTCTCTCTCTCTGTCTCTCTCTCTCTCACACACACACACATCCATTAATAGGTTTTTATAGTATTAATTGTCCGACAAGCGGTGTACGTGGCAGCTGATGGTGCAGCAACATGTTTCTCATCGAATGGGACTCTCTCACCGAAATTAGACTGGATCTCCTCTTTTAAGTTCTCTTCTTTTGCTTAAATACTGTAGGAAATGAGAGCCAACCTACTTTTTAATTAAATAAAAAATAGAAAAGAAAGAAAGAAGAAGAAAGAAAGAAAGTAGGTCGACTCGTGATACATGTGTTCAGCAAGAAAAATTATGTCTTAAACCAATACGTTTTTAGGAGAATCTTAGTTTTCTCTTCATAAAGCAACATGGGCTAAATACATATTATTTTAATTAATGTGTACTAAAGTTGATATTGATATTGAATGATTACTTCACCTTTTTAGTTGATATTGATTGATGAGTAAAATTTGGGTTTCTGTAAACGTGCTCCAAAGATTGATATTATTTTCCTCTTGCTTTCTCTACTATTCTCTCTGTTATTTTCTTTATTTTCAATGTTTGTAGGAAAAAATGAAAATCTGCGTATGTATTTATCTTGTGTTTATGAATCTTTTCATTGTGTAAATCTGTCTATAGGCTTGAAAATACAAAGTATGGAAGGAAGTTCTCAAACTCCTACCATTAACACATCTCTCACCAACCCAAATGAAAGTCCTAGTCCTATACCTACCATTTCTACCACTGAGCCATTAGTTCAAGGGGGAACATCTACACTTCTCCCAATTCCTAAGAAGATAGTACCCATTAGGAAAGAATCGGAGGTTTGGAAGCATTTTACTAAGAACACGGTTGAATCGGGGAGTGATATAGGACCTAGAGCTTCTTACAATTATTGCCATCAATCTTATGCATGTGATACGATAAGAAATGGCACATCTACATTGTTGCAACGTTTGAAAGTTCAATGCACGGGGAGTTCTCCATTGAAAGAGGACAACAAACAAAATATGTTCTTTCATTTGATAAGGGAGGCTTAGTTTCACACATACATATAGCAAAGAGAGAAATAGACTTGCTTGTATGAAGATGATAATAATTGATGAGCTTCCTTTTAGGCATGTGGAAGCCTTTGGCTTAAGTTCCAATCTTGTATACCATTCTAGGATCAAACATTTAGATATTGACTTTCATTTTGTAAGAGAAAGAGTACATAAAAAGGACTTTGATTATGCAGTATATTCCTACTGAAGAACAAGTGGCAGACATCTTTACAAAGGGATTGCATGGTCCTATGTTTCTGATACATTGTAGAAATTTAAAACTTAGAAGCCTAGCTGGGTTTGAGGAGGAATGATGACTGTATTGTCCAGGTCAGCTCAAGGTTGTTAGAATAGCACATGGAGGTCACGTGTTCTTGTTAGTATTGTTATAGAATTTGTTAGTATGTTAAGATGAGTTTACTTAATCTCTAAGATTGTTATTATTAGGTATATAAGCTGAGCTTTACATTGTAATCTGATAAGTCCATAAATTTACACATTTATGTACTCTTTGTACTTAGTTTTTTAAGGAGAATTTGATTTTAAAATGACTTATTACTTTATTTACTCAATTTTCAGCTTTCCAGAGAAAGTAATTTGTTTTCAACAAAAATACGACTTTTTGGTGGAGTTTTAGTACAAGAACAGTTGGAGATGAAAGCTAAGATCTTGAAGATGATTGTGGAATTTTTCTAGAATTTTCGAAGCAGCCAATGAAAGCAGTCTTTGAAGTTAATTAGTCAGCATAAGGTGCAATCCCGTCAAAACTGTGCTGTTGTGGAAGAATGATTAATTGAAGACTTTCCTGATTTTTCCTCAAGGCGTGCGATATATGGCTGGAAAGATAAGACAAAGATCTACAATTTACATATTTTTCCCGAATTTTCTTGGAGGAGTAACAACCCCAAACGTGCGTGCAAAGTAACTAATGTGTTATGCCAGTCCAAGTAGGAAGAGGAGTTAATTACTTACCCATTTTGGATTTATGTTTTAATTAGGTTTTTCTTTATTTTTGGGCTGCTATAAAAGCCCAGCTATGGTAGGAATAGACACGTGGTGTTTTATTTAAGCATGAGAAACAACTCCTTTGGGGTCACGCAAAGACTAGGAGAAATTGGAGACGCATGAAGAGTACTGCAATTGGCTAAGTTTTATTGTTTCTTCCTTATGTTTTTGTTTTTGTCGAATTCTATGATTATGTGTAACTAATTTTCTTTTGCTAGGGCATGATGTAGCCCTAGTATGATAATCTTGTTTTCTTAATGATTGTTGTTTGATGTTGGATTTTTAATCACTGTGCTTAATAACTTGGTTGATTATCTTGATACTTGATCACCATCTAGACTTTTAATTGAGTTAATCAGATGCAAATTAGAGTAAATACCATACTTAATTTGAGGCTTTCTTCTTGTGATTAGGATTTGTAATTTGTCTAGGGTAAATACCATACTCCTAGGGTTTACCTGCTTGTTGGAGGTTTTTATTGATGTTAATGAGTTTCTATGTGTTGATATTTGACCTAAATACCATTGGCAAATTGCATGTAGATATACGAGTTAGCCTAAATACCATAGGTAATTCATGAAAAAGGAAAATTAAGCGGCGACATCAAATGGTTAGTTAATAGGTAGGTGAATAAGAGGCTAGATCGGATTAGTAGTAGTGAATTCATTGTCCTAATACTTTTATCAATTTGAATTTCTCATCCTTGTGTTCCGTAACTTTCTACTTGTTTTGTCTTTTAATTTCGTTGTTAATTAAATCACTCTTTTAAAAACCCCTTTTGTGTTTACGTGAGTATGCTACGTGTTTAATTTCTTGTTTATATAATTAGAGTAGTTAAAGTATTTTGTGAAGTAAATTAGGTTAGACTAGTTGGAAGTTGAACTCAATCCTAGTGGGAATGACCTTATATTTGTCATACTAAATTACGATTGACCTTGTGCACTTGCAAGTATAATTTGTGTTTAGACTAATCTTTATAATCTCCATTTTCCAGATTGTCTAAAATTCACAACATAATCGATTCATTAAGCAAAATCAATACAAAATTTTCTGAGTTTTCTCTACTTTCTTCTTCAATCTTCTCTATTGTTATCAGCTCTTAGGTGAGTGTTTATCTCTTTAAGAGATAGGCCCTCACCTAAAGGCCATATATAAGGCCCTCACTATAGAATGACTCTCGTATACTCCCTAAACATTATATTGTATGCTTCCAGGTGGCAAAGATCTAGGGCTGAGACGGTGCCAGTTGGATCTTACAGGAAGATTTCTATTTTCTCATATTTCTGTGGCTGCTGCTGCTAATAACATTATAAATTTATAACATAAGTTACCAGCTTGTGGGATTTTGGCGGACTTGCTCATAAATCAAAGGCTTACCAAGGTTTTGGCTGTCAATTGGCAATAAAATAACACTAATTAAGGTCGGCCAAAGAACCCCACCACTATTAAACAAACAAACGTTAGACTGGAAATGTTGGAATAAATCAAACATTAAGGTGATGATATTTTAGACAAGTTTGTCACCAAAATCACAGCTGAGAATTTAAATACATATTTGAAACATAAATAAATAAATATATATGTGCCATTGTGCATGCAGCTCTATAGATTGGTACCAAATATATCAACATGAAAACTTCTGCCATTTGGTGAGCTTAATTTATCTAACTACACACTTCCATAAGTATTTTTTTTTTATATATATAGTTTGTACATCATGTAGATATAATATGGCCATGGATATTCTATATGACTGTGGCAAACCTGCATGTTAAGGAGAGGATGATTTGATAAACCATTCTAAGTTTCTAATGTTAACGAGACGAATATCACTAGACCAAAAGATATTAGTAAAATATTTGTTAGTATAATTTTCACGTCACGACTGTCATGGCTAATATATTACACACACAGGGGAGGGATTATTTGGTCCGTGAGTTAACTCCAAAACCCCTTGTCCTCTTAATAATCTCAAAGAGCAAGAGCAAGAGCATATATAATTCGAACTATCAACTATTAATCACCCCCCAAAAACAATGGAACTAATAGAAAATCACTTCAACTTCCTGCCTTTATGTAACAAAGAAACAGACTGAAGTCATCATATCAAGCTGAAACAAATCATCTTCTGTGAATTATTTATCAATATGTGTCGTCTCGGTTGTCTAACAGCTGTTATCACTTCACCCCAAAAATAGAAAGAAGAAAAAAAATGTGAAAAAAGAAAAATACACTAGATTCTGTAGTAGTACCAATGCTTTTTTATTTTTATTTTTTAATATGTGATTTAGATTCTGTATATATAGTGTACATATGTGATTAATTCCACCAAGAAACACCAAAAAGAAAAACAAGTTGGAAATAAATATAAAAGAAAAGATACAAAATAATTTTGTTCTTTAGTTTGTTTCACGTATCCAAACATATATCATCCCACCATAATGCACCAAAAACCAAAACAAGTAATAAATATAAAATATTAAGACAATATATATATATATATATAATTAAAGAGTAACCAGTCTAGTTTAACATGACTAAGTTTTGTAATTATTTTGTCCTTTGGTACAATTTAAATGGCATATATATCATACTAGCTATCAAAACATAATTAAATTGTTTAGAGAGCAAGCTGGGTAATTAACAGGTCACTAATATCTAGAATGCAGGCCTTCCTTCTCTCCCAAAATAAATATAATTCTTCACTACCAGCCAGTTGACCCATCTCTCCCTCTCTCTCTCTCTCTCTCTCTCTCTCTCTCTCAGAAATGGAGTCTGATCAGGCAATTCAAGAAAACTCAGAGCAGGTCTCGGATGATAAGCAAGGTGCAAGCCAAGCAGCAAAGTCATATGAGTGCACTTTTTGTAAAAGAGGGTTTTCTAATGCGCAAGCTTTAGGAGGGCACATGAACATTCACCGAAAAGACAAAGCCAAGCTCAAGCAAGTCTCCTCATCGAATACTATTGAAACTAAACAACACCAACAACAACAACAAAGACTTTTGGACATCCCAAAGATGTCCTCCTCGTATTCTTCTCCAATACTTCCTACCATCAATTCTTCAGAACACAAT